TTGTGACGTGGCAGCCGTGGAGGCGCCCGTCTCAAGAACCCCGTACCGATTAGTGAGAATGTTTATCGCGTGCCGTGTCGCTAACGGTTTTTCGAGACCTTGCCGAATATCGCGTTCCGTCGGATTGTTTGTTGTGAATATTTAGAACAAAGCGAAGAAGCGATTTTTGCGAGCGGAGCAGATGCGAAGGTCAGCGCGTCCCGAATTTTGTGCCCCTCGACGTCCCTTGCCGGCCATCAGGACGAGGAGCGGAGGACAACGAGGAGCGGAGGACATCGAGGAGCGAGGATGCAGCAGATGACGATTAGCGGAGCCCTTGCTCAGGTGAATCGCACTCTCGTACTTTGGTGATGCAAATATATTATCGCGAATTATCGGGCGCTCAGCGATAGAGAATATTCTATCGCTGAGAAGCTATCGTAGTTATAATACCGTATCGCGCTCAGACGGATCAGCTGTATTTACTTTCAGCGAAACAGCCGTCGCGAGAAACCCGGAAGGAAAAAACGGGAGAGCCGGGAGAGACAACCAAGCGAACTCCCGATGTCAACAATGTCTCGAGACGAAAAGTGTCTCGAGACAATAGTACCGAAATCTGCCGATTCTCGACGATCGACGACCCCAGGACGAGGGGGGCAGCGACGAGGGAGGATCCGCGAGGATACGCTATCCTCCCAGAAAGAAACAGCTGTTAGCCTTGCCGCGACCATTGCCGCAAATAGACAGCCTTACCGCGACCACCGCCGCGCTCAGACGCATAGAAAGAATTCCGACAAAATTATAATGCGAGAGAGAGAAAAGAAAGAGGGAGAGAGGAGAGAGAGAGAGAGAGAGAGAGAGAGAACAGAGAAAGAGAGTACGGGAGTGAGAGAGTGCGGAGTGAGAGCGGACGAAGAGTGGAGAAAGGACGAGGGAGCAGAGAGAGAGCGAGAGAGCGGAGCGGGAGAGAGTGGGCAAGACGAGAGAGAGAGAGAGGACCGCCGCCGCTGCCGTCACCGCTGACGCCGCCGCCGACGCCAGGGTCGTCACCGAAAATTGTAAGACTGACCATCTGCTCCAATAATATTTGTGTCGCGCACCGTATCGTATCGTGTCGTGTCTCGTCCGCGGAGTGGTCGCGCGAGTAAAGAAGGCTCGCCCGAGGAAAGCGTCCTCGGGCTTCGTATACCGTTTCGCGAATTGTACCGTCTCGCGTAGATTGACTATCGGGACGTGCGAGAGTCCCCGAATAAACTTCTCATTATTACTGATATCGAGCCTAGTGATTTCGCTTCCTCCAATCCATCCCGTCTCCGACTTTAATTTAATAGAGCTACCGGTCCCGACGGTTTCGGGACACGCCTTTCTTTTGTGATAATTATTTATTCTCGCGCTTATCGAGGTGGTGCGGCCTTTCCGTACCTGGCGCCCAACTCTCGCGAAAATCTTTGTGGCGTGTCCGGGAGCCGACGGCAATTTGCCGACGCGGCGAACAGGCGACTGTTTGCCGTCGCTCGTGAGAAGTTCCGTTCGCGAGTACCGTCGCAATATATATATATAATAAATTTAATAATAAATAAACAAAAGTAAGTACATACCTTTAATTACTGTTATTAGTGAGAGATCACATATTTTAAAATTATTTCGTTGACCCAACCAACTGCATTGTGTACCAAGTTTGTTGGTAAAAATCCTTTTTAAAATTGCTTTTACATTGTCCGTTCCATTGGTACCACCAATACGTTTGACATACATTATCTGAAAGTGGTATTAGTTATTATAACACGAAAATATTAGCAATTACAATAAATATTATTCAAAGAACATACAAATGTGTTTGTAACGTTTTTATTATCTAAGCTCAGATCAAAATGAGTAATTTCATCAGTTGTCTTTAAAGGAAATATGTTTTGTATTATTTGCACTTCTTCGTAGACATTATTATTATTTTTTACTCTTCCATCCTCTATACGTTTCAATCGGCTATCAATACTTCTTACGTACATTTTTATTAATGTACATTGTTCTAAAATTTTTTGTTGTTTTTGACCTGTAATACACAGGACATATATGCAAACATATAATAAGATACAAAAGTACAATGCTAAATGATGTATACATGTGCACGCGCGTACACGTGTATATGACTACGTTTACACGGCTTCTAACTTCGACTTAGGGGTATATTCTATAACTTTTAACGACATCGTTATGTATCATTGCACAGATTTTTTCTATTATAAAATAACTGCGCAGCGAACATAACGACATCATTAAACGTTATAGGCTGTGTTCCAAAATTGCCTATCAGCACTAAAGAGTTACAGTTTACGTTACATATATTACAGATTTTCAGCGTTATCAGTAATTTTGGAACACAGCCATAGAATAGGCCCTTTAGTAACAACCGTAGTTAGTGAACTCTCGTATCTAATTGGTATATACTTTTATATCTAGAAATATATCCAATTGGATTCATGAGTTCACTAAGTATGGTTATTACTAAACCGATTTTAGGCTGCTGTATAAATGTAGTCTGTGGTGTGTATATGCGCGTGTGTATGTGTGTGTATTAAAGTTCCTTCTTACTGTACAAATCTGAAGTAACACTAGTGACTGGTGTTTCATTTGAAGATGCAACTTCTGTATGAAAAACAGGTACTAAAAAAATCATTAAGGAACATATATAATTTAACACGATTACATACATACAGACAGACATCCACACAGCACGGACGTCTAGGGACCGTCCTCGGATGTCCGTAGGATGTCGCGTCGTCCTGAAGACATCTGAGGATGATCCCTACATGTCGTGTGCTGTGTGGATATATGTAAAGAGAAAAGCATACTTTCTGTTTGAAATGCTGATTGTACATGCATCGAATTAGACTCGATTCTAATATTATTTTCGCTTACTGAGGTGTTCCAAATGTTCTTATTATTTTCTTTCCTTGGTAGGTCTATATATAAAACTTGTCCATCACTTATATTTGTTGTTGATGAAGAAAGAGGAACGTTGTCCTTTACCTTATCATGCGATGCACTAAGTGTTGCAATGTTCTGATGTTTATTTATATTTTCCTTTGATATGAATGGAGGTGGACGTTCATAACCTGTTATAAAACATTACATTAATATTTCTAACATAATAATATTAATATTAATATTAATATTAAATCATTTTTAATTGTGTACTATATAATTGTAATTAATATTTATGTGTAAATAATTTATTATAAAAAAATTTTAACAAATTCGTTTTTAAACTCACGGTCTGATTCGCAATTCTCAGAGGATTCGTCATCGCTTATGAGGACTTTTTTCCTTTTTCTTCTTTTTCCTTTCCCACGAGAAACACTTTCTTCGGAAGATGTACAGTTACTGTTCTCGGCTTTTTTTCTCGCTAGTTGCACAGTTGCTGTTGAATATAAATTTATTTTACATGGGTGTATTAAGTAACACAACCTCTCACTGAGCACTAAATGAGATCTTGCACATGATTGCTATGTTATATATTTAGATATAAAGATATTGCCAATCAAATTCAAAACATCACTAAGCGCTCAGTGAGCACTTATAGTACTGAATGCACTATCTAATTTACTTTATAATTTCTATTTCTAAAATAAGTAACTGTAATATAATAAACATTATATAAGTGATACGTGTATATATAAAAAATATATATAATATAAAATAAATAATATATAT